CATCTGATGATGGGTAAAAGTAAAGAGCTCTCTCAAGACCTTCACAACCTTATTGTTGCAAAGCATAATGATGGCATCGGTTACAGAAGAATGTAAAAAATAGTGGTGAGGCAGCGCCCCCTATTGACCAGCCGCCACTGACTGCATGCTAAACAGAACGTGGTTGGTTCTAGAGATGCACAATACTGGAAAACCTTGCGATGACGATAAGTTTTGTAAATATTGCAATGACGATATCCGGTGTCTTTTTTTTTCTTTCCTCCCTTTCTAATCTGTACTTCATACTTTATGTGACTTTTAGTATTTTTGGCATTGTCATTTGTGTCTGATGTGAGATTTTGCTGCCGATACTGTCCTACTGGCTAAAAATTGCGTTAGAATTACAAATACAACTTCAGAAGTTTTCAAATACATTTTTCAACTATTGCACTCAAAGCAGCCCTTTGCGATATGAATATTGTGTACACTGATGTTAAGATAGTGATGTATTTGCAATATATTATGAAGCCCTAGATTGTTCAGAATAACATTCAGAAGTAAAAACCTGCCTGTTTGAATGACATCAGCTATACTGAAAAAACTCYGCTGTCCTACTGAATTTTTATTAAAAATTATTTTTTTTGGTCAGTTTCAATGTATGTCAGTGACTTATGTGGGTTTTTCTTTCTTTAATGAAAGGTACAAAAAAATTTGTATCTGTACATCAAGCACTTAACTTCTGAAGATAACCCCATTCAAGATGGCTGCCACAGCTAAGCTGCCTTAGAATACACAATAATGGCTATAACTCCTTTATTGTTCATTTATAATGTAAACTACATCATTTCTCAACATAAAGTCTTAGTGTAAAAATCTGGAATGAAAGTCAGCAGGTGATATGTACTGTATTCTTTCAAGTGATCCTAGGCTTTAAAAGTGATAAAAGCAAAAGATTTATAAATGATTCAAAAGCAAAATCACTTTGTATCTTCAGGGTATTATTTACTATGTGATCGCTTCCTCAAAATTGGAGGAGTGGCTTTCTAATGAGACCATGAAGGAGGGTCTGCGAGGTTGTGGAGAAAGGAACTATGTTGACCTGGACCCCACGTTTAATCCCAACATTGACGAAGATTATGACCATCGGCTCGCAGGAATCTCCAGAGACAGTTTTTGTGCGGTATACTTGAGTTGGATTCAATACTGCAACTCTCGAAGAGCCAAGGTAATGCATCAGACGACATTTATTCAGTCAGCATGCATGTACACAGATTAATGTGAATTATATTTCCAGTTCAAGTTCAAGTAGTTTTTTTTGTCAATTCTGCAYATGTGCAAAACATACATAGGGCTGAAATTACRTTACTCTCCTACCCAAGTTTACCGCAGAGTACAAACATTGCACTAAAACAAGTTAACAACTGGGATATATAAATATAGAGAAGAACACACTAAGCATAAAATATACAAGTACCAATAATTTAGGAAGTAACCGTGTAGAGTGGTCTGAAAATTATATGTATGGCAGTAGTGCAAACAGCAAAAAGAAGGTGCAGACTCCATAAAATTGGATGCCCACTTACAACAGGATGCTGTGGTTGTGAGTGGGAGGTGAGGTAGAGAAGGGTTGAGCAACCTTACTGGTGGACGGAGCTGTCCTGTTTGTTTATATACAGTGGTTTGCAAAAGTATTCATACCCCTTGAACTTTTCCATATTTTGTCACATTACAAC